CCTTGCCTACAGATTTTGGACTTACCAGCCACCACAATTGTGTGAGACAATTCCTTAAAATAAATCTCTCCCCACACACACATATATCGTATCAGTTCTGCTTCTGTGGAGAATCCTGATGGATATAGTAAGCAATCCCCTGTATTAAATTCCCTCTCTTTGAAATGAGTCTGTTTTCCTGACTCCACTGAAGACTAGTGTTCGTGGCAGCAGCAATTACCTCCTGGAAAACAGTCCTTCAAAGCTGGAAATTCAGAATTAGTCATCTGCCTGACCTGATTTGGCTGGATCACAGTCATGACCTCATTGCCAAGGAGAAAAATGGGGCCTTGGAAGTTCACAGCAAAGTTTGGTAGAAAATTATTACTTAAAATATCACCAATGGCCAACTGGTGAAGTGCCTCTTGAAAGGCAAAATTTGGGAGACCAATGGTTGCTGCATTTGATCATAATGGGACTGAGAACTACAAAGACTCTAGGGAGGGTTGGCTACTTCTAACTACACAGCAGAAGAAAGAGAAAGAAAATTTCAGGGCTTTAAACTCAAATGAAAGCATGAAGAGAAAACCAGGGAGCATCTTTGAGAGCCAGGAAAACAATTTCTTTAATATCTTGTAGCCATAAGAGTGATAAAACTGAAAACATAGGTTTCACCCTGCAGGTTGCAGTTACAACACAAGTTGAATTCACAGCCTTGCTGATCTCTAATGTGAAAATTAGGACACAGATTAGGAGTGGGGCCCTGAGAATAGCAGAGGGGACATCTGAGTGGACTTGAACAAATATGAGACTTCTGAACTGAGGGGGGAAGTGTGTGAGTATGGAGTCGGATGCTCCATGAATATTCCTGCTTATTATCTCAGCTTCATTCCAGCATTTAATCTTCTCCATACAAGCCAGCCACTCTTGATTATCTATGTGCCATGTAACTTGAAATGGAGCCCTACCTCAGCCTTCCAAATGAGCAAGGCAGTTGTTGAGTTTCATCTGTTTATTCCTCTCAGAGGTCACCTGCTACCTGAAGTAGACATATGACCTACACCATACGAAGAGAGGATACGGATTCAGTTTGAAACCTGGTTCTACCTTCTTCTAAGATGGATGGACTACAGGCTGTTCACTAGCCTCAGTCTCCTGGTCTGTAAACCAGACCTAGTAACGCTGCATGGAATTATTATGGGGAGGAAGATAGGTAAGATCGTGAAGGGGCCAGCAATTGTAGTGCCCATCTCTTCCCCATTTGTTTGGGGGCAGAGTGGAAGTGCTAAGAGGGCAAATTCCAACTCAGGAGTCAGTACCCTCCCAGGGCAGCACAGGCAGATGAGAAGTGGTCCCACCACAGGTCATAGCTCAATCCTATCCTGATGTGTTCTGAGGTTTGCTCTCACCCTTCAGACCTGTTCACTGTCAAGTTCTAACACAAGCCCAAGCCCCCTCCACTGAGCCAGGAGTACTAATGGAAGACCTTGTTGAAGGTAAACAGGAACATGAACCCCACAAAGCAGCCATGGAAGGGAAGGAAGAACTGCTTAATAGGAGCATGACTAGACCTTCTCTCAGGTGACTGGGGGTAACTGGAGACCATGGGGTGAGGGCAGGGTCAGATAGAAAAGGGCGTGGATGGAGTATGAATACCAGTGTCACCCTGTGTAGGATCAGGATCTTGACTGGTAACTGGAGCCTCACAGAGCCTTGCTCTCCTTATCTGAAAAAATAGGTCTATTTCTACCATTCAGGCTTGTGCTGGTGATAATTTGAGCACAGAGGTCAAACTAGACAAAAGAAGAAAATACCTTCAGATCCTGCCTTCTCTCTTCCTTTCCTATACTCTATTCCTCAGTTTCCACATAAAAGTGGAGCTCATCACAAGGTTGAGAGGATAAGGCAAGGAAGCCTGAGGATGGCAGTGGCCCTTTCCTCTCTCAGAAGTAGCAGTTCCAAGCTAGGCAGACAGGCCACACCTTTACTGAAATGTACTTCATGTGAGTTAAAAAGTAATAAGGGGGAACAGGTCCAGAGGCCAGCCTTGGCCCAGTATCATCTATAGCAGGTCCTGAGTCAGAAAGGCACATGAGCCACCTACAGTGAACAGGCTAAAAGAAAAACCCACAGGGGGCATAACTTGGCAAATAAGCCCAAGTGCTTGGGGATGATTACAGGGCAGACAGCTTGGGCTAGGGACCCTCAGTCCCCTGAAGCATCCCTCTGCTCCTGGGCACGTGGGATGTCTCCACAGGGCTTACCCTCTGCAGTTGAGAGAAGAACATACAGGCTGCAGGGAAGGGGGAAATGGAATCAGCACCAATGAGGGTAGGCTGGGGGCTCCAAGGTAGTCTGCAGGAACACAGCCACTGATGCCAACATAGGCTATGCTGGTGATGTGGCCAGCCAGTAGGGGCAGCAGTCCCTTAAGGTGGCCTGAGGAAAGGAAGCCAGGCACTTCAAGATGATGTTGCTGCTCCAGCCCAGGTCCTCCTTGTTCAAATACTAAGTGTGTCAAGTGTGTGCTGGGCATGGCAAGACACTTCTTGGCAGGACACTACACAGAATCCGAGGTTCAGGCTGGAACTCCTCACTGGCAACCCCGGCCTCCTCTGCTCCCCACTGTTTGCTCTTGCCCTCTGAGCCTCTTGCAGGGTCCTATGGGCCACCCTGGAGAGGCTGCAAGGGGTTCCTGGAGTAGTGCCCCCCTGTATGCTGCATGGATGACACAGAACAAATGTCAACTCACAGCAGCTGGGGAGATAAACTATCATGGCAGATCTTTTCTTGAGCCTGGGAGGGATGTATGCATGGAGAAGGGTCCCAGAGACTGATGAGAAAGGAGGCCCAGGCCCAGATGCCCATAACAGCAAGAAGGCAACAGATCCAGATCTGGGCTGGCTATCTGTCCATTCCTACCTACAGCGCTCGTTTCCCTCAGTGGTGCTGGGAATGAACCCCACAGTATTGGAGGGGACACGGACAGCTAAGGCTACTTCCTGTCAACTAATTCTTCATGGAGGCTGAGCCATCTCTGCCTCCCTCCCCTCAGTACCAGCCTCAGGAAGGGGCTTTCACAAGGCTGAGGAGGATAGTAGGAAAGGTAGGGGACTGGCCCTCAGCCCTCCCACGCATTCCTGAGGACTGAATAGTAAAGTTTTCACACAGTTGTGGGGCTCTGCAGAGACCCCTGTGAGAAAGTAGGCTGCAATGTCACTGCAGCAGGTGGGAAGGTGTTGTGCACCACGCCAAGCAGTGGACCCTCTGAGTGCAGTGTTAGGGATGGAGGGGAAAGGGCCTTAGTGCCAAGATTAGGGGAAGTTGGGGTAGTCAGACAGGAGGAGTCACTGTGAAACCCTGGCACTCAGGAGGGTGGTACAGTGGGAGACTCCTGGTTCTAACTCTGCTAGTACCACCAAGTCCAGCTGTAGCCATGCCTCAGAGGCCGGGAGGGGGCATCCCCTAGGGACTCACTGCCAACATATATCAGGGACTCAGACTCTGGGGTCCTCCTCCAGTACCACAGGGGAGCAGAAATGGATCTGCTCTTTGTGGAGAGTGGAGGATGGGAGGTAAGGACCCTAAACCAGAGGGGTGTCCACTGGCTCCCAAAAGGAATCCCCTAGAAAAGCTGACTGCCCTAGAACAGAGTGGGTCCTGGTGGTTGGAACACAGGGGCTGTCCCAGGGTGGAGCTCTGGGCCAACATGCACTGGGATGCATCCTGCCACAGCACTGCAGCAGATGTCTGGCAACAGCAAAGGGAACCACTCAGCAGACATGCCTTCCTCTTGGATGCCAGGACAGGTATTTGAAGATAGTTTACTTCCCTCCCTCCTAGCTCCAAAGCATCCTCTATAAGGAAGCCCACCCATGTGGCAGCACAGGGCTACACCTAGATGGCAGCCCTAGAGCTGGGCTCCTGGCAGAAGAGGGACAAACTAGGGGCAGCAGGGGGTAGGAACTAGAAGCCTTAGTTTCCTGTAGAGCTGATGGACAAAAGGAGAAGGGAAGAGGGTACCAAGGAGAGGATAGCACCCACCTGCTCCCCATCATCAGCCCCTCTCTGCCAGAGGCACCACCACACTTAGGATCCTATGCATGTGTGCATGGACACGTGTGTGCACATCCAGCTGAATGTGCACAGCTGGCCTGGGCCAGCACTCATCCATCCCTTCTCTTTTCTCTCAGGAAGGCTTTCTCTTGCCCTTTGCCCTGCTCCTGCACCAGGGCAGAAAAGTAGGAGAAGAGAAAGGGAGGCCCTGATGGCAGCCAAGCCCTGATACTACCCCTGGAAGTTGGCACACAGGTTTCTTATTGCTCTTCTGGCCTCAGAGAATACACTCCTCATCTGTAGAAAGGACATAAACTGTGAAAGTGGCAACAGGAGTCCCAAATCAGCATTCCTGCTGTCAACATGGTCTGCCACTTGCCCCTCTGGAAAGCCCAGAGCAAGGACGAGTAGGTGGAAACCCCAGGATGCCACATATATCCCTGTCCATGCTCTGTCCAGGCCCCAGGTCCTCACCTGCCCACTCAGCACAGGCATAAACAAGTAGAGTAACCTTCTGCCCATCTCTACAGAGTCAGTGCTGCCAAGACCACTGCTGCCCAGCTTCCCCCTTCACCACATCAACTGGCTCCTTACCCACCAGCATTCTTTGCCAGTCCCCTTCTCTTGGTAAGGCTGTTCTCATCCCCGCCCTCTGACCCTGACAAGGAAACAGGGAGCCAAGGGCCTTGACAGGCTTCGGGAGGGAAACCATGGTTGTGTGGACAAGCCCAGGAGAAGATGAGGACAGAGGCAGGAAGAGTGTCTTCTGCCCTCATCTCAGGCTTCCTTTGAAAACAAAGGGATACCTCCAGGGATCTGGAGATGGGGTCACAGAGAAGCGTCCTAATAAAAAATAACTGAGTCTGGTCCCGGCAGGGCCGAGGTTTCCTGAGAGCAAAAAGATGGCCAGGCGAAGGCCACATGAAATGGACCAGAACAGAATGCTCCTGCCTGGGGGGCTGGGGTTACGGCTGCACACGCTCCAGGTACTGCGGCAGGGGGTTCTCCTTGACATACTTCTGGATGTACCAGCACGTGAGATGGGCCTTCAGGTCCTCCTCCACCACGAAGTCCAGCGCAGCCTGGGAGCCGGCAGAGAGGAAAGAGCATCAGTGCCATAGAGCTGAGACTGGAGCACGGCGCACAGCCGTCCCAGTAGCCACACACCTACTGGACTGAAAAGGGGTGGCCAATCTGTCCCCTCTGCCGGCACCAGCTCCCTAAGGGCAGGAGGGAGCCTCATCCATGCTCTGACTGCCCCAGCCTTTGAAACTGCCCATAAAACCTAGCACATACCCCTGGGATGATCTTGGATGTGTGAACACCATCATTCCCCACATTCTTGAGAAAAAACACCCCAACCCACTACTGTCTGAGGTGTAAGTGGAAGGCATCTTTCTGGAGAAAGATGGAAAGTTGATAATAACCACACACAACACCCACTAGCACCCCACTGTACAAGTAGTTCAGGGAATCCCATGCGGGGGGTTGGGAGGGAAGGAGAGCTTGGTCAGGAGCCTAGCCACAGTATCAGATGGTTCTGAATTCAAATTTAGACTCCACGAGTGACTGGCTGCAAGATTGTGGGTGATTGTCTTAATCTCTATGATTCCCTGTCTTCTTATCAATAAAATGGGGAGGGGATTAGGGCCCATGTCACAAAGCTGCTATAAGAGCTAAATTAGTCAATGCGCATAGTGTTTGGTGCAGCTCCTGGCACAAAGTGAGTGGGTGCCACCTGCCAGCTCCTATATGTCATGACTATCAGCTCAGTGAATTCTATCCTGAGTATCTGCCGACAGCTCCACTGATGCTACCCCCCAGGTCATCTGTCTCAAGTCTCTAGTCTCCACCTCCCTCCCTAGGTCTCCCTAAAGGCCTGAGAGGTAGCTCTTGTAGTTCCTCGCCTGTACTTTGCTTTTTAAAGGCTGGAGGACAGATACTTCCCACTCAACAGCAAGGATTATGGACAAAAGGAAGGGTAAATGACAGTACTCTGGAGATTCAGGAGGGCTTCAGGACTTAAAGTGATCCTGTTCAAGGGAGAGTCCCTAAAACAGGTCTGCAGGCTGTGGCTATGGGGTAGGAGAACCCCAGGATTAAGGCTCAGGGTCAAGGCTGACCCATCATCTTATTCTGGCAAAGTCCCCTAAAGGCAGGGCCAGAGCAGCAACATGAGATCCCAGCAGCCTATGTGACCATGGGCAGCACTGTGACCTTAATGAGCCTAGTATCCCCACTTACAAAGTTGGCCAATCCCAGCAGCACAAAGGGGCTATGACGTTGGAATGTCAGATCTTGTAGGCACCACACAAGTGCCCACTGCATGGTGACATCCCTCTCACCCCACCCACCCCTGTGGCTCTTTTTCTGAATCTCCAGCATCTGAAAGGGCCTGGTGTATAATAGATGTCCAAACAACAACTGCTGAACAGACTACTAGTGTCTACATAGGGCAAGAGAAAGGAAAGGTATATGAACAGTATCTGGGTACTTTAGGGCAAGATGGAAATAACACACTAAAATGTCCAAAATAAGCCAGGATTCAGCCTCTAATGACATCTTGCGGGCAGAACAGCTGTCCATCCAGGGCTCCTGTGGGTGTTACTCTGACTCAAGTGCAGTAAATTAAGAACCAAGCAGAGAGAGGGCAGAGGTGGGGCATCCCTGACTCAGAAGGCAACACCAGGGTGCCCAGAGCTCCAAGACTGCCAATGACTGAAGAGAAGCTGGCCCCCTAGGTGAGGGCGAAACTGGGACAGCAAGCCTTGGGGATGGTGTCTGCCAAACTGGGGGACACCTGCCTTCAGAGAGCAATGGCCTTGGCAGCTGCAGCCAATGGGAAGGACTGGCCTTAACGCTGCCCAAAGGGGACCCACTGCTACTGAGCCTGGCCAGGTACCTGAAAGCAGCTGCTTAGGAACTTACAGCTGTTGGAAATAATTTTATGTCCATTAAATCTGGTAACTTTAAAAAAAAAAAAAGAGCTTTAAAAGAATTGAAAACAGATTTCAAACAAATGTATACAAATGCTCATAACAGCATTACTAACAATAGTCAAAAGGTAGAAACACCATAAATGTCCATCAGTAGATATATAAACAAACTGGTGTATCCATGCAATGGAATATATAATACATGCTACAATGTGGATGAACTTTGAAAACATTATGCTATGTGCAAGAAGTCAGTCACAAAAGGACAAAGATTGCAGATTGACAGAGGCTGGGTTGGGGTGAGATAGGGCTGGAGAGTAACTGCTAATGGTTATGGGGTTTTATTTCGAATAATGAAAATGTTTCAAAACTGTTATTAGGTGCTGTCGAGTTTCTTCTGACTCATAGAAATTCTATGTAAAACAGAATGAAACACTGCCTAGGCCTGCTCCATCTGCACAATCATTGCTGTGTTTGAGTACATTGTCATAGCCACTGTGTCAGTCCATCTCATTGAGGGTCTTCCTCTTTTTCACTGACCATCTACTTTACCAAGCATGATGTTCTTCTTCAGGGACTGGTGCCTCCTGATAACAGGACCAAAGTAAGAGAAATGAAGTCTTGACATTCTTGCCTCTAAGGAACATGCCAGCAGTACTTCTTCCAAGACAGATTTATTCATTCTTTGGTCGTCTATAGTTTATTCAATATTATTCCTTACTGTTTTGGTTGCCTAGTGCTGCTCTAACAGAAATTATCACAAATGGGTAGTTTTAACCAACATGGATTTATTCTCTTACAGTTTAGAAAGCTAGAATTCTGAGTTCAAAGTGCCAGCTCTAGGGGCTGGGTGAAAGTGTCTTGACCTTGGGCTTCAGCTCTGCCTGTTGCTCCCAGCCCACTGAAGCTGGAGGCTTTTCTTAACTCAGGCAGCTGCTGACTGCTAAAGCTGACAAACCCAAGGTCAACAAATAAAATGGTACAGTCCCAAGATTATCAAGCACACAGCAGGCCACTAGTTCAAGTCCAGAGACAGTCCCAAGATTGGCAGGAAACATGTCAGGCTGCTGAATACTCAGCTACAAACAGGGTCCAAGCATGCCAAAAAGTTGCAGAGACCTTTCTCAATGCTGCTTCTTATATAATGGAAGCAGAGCACATCCCTACGGCAACTACTCAGCTGCTCCAGTAGATTCTACCATGGAGCTGATTACCAATCTCATCATGGGGAATAACTATTTCCAGCTGCCTAGCCACTCAAACTTGCCCAGCCAAATTGACACATAACCTTAACTACCACACTCACCAACACCGTAACTCAAATGTATCAATTCTTCTTCTGTCTTCCTTGTTCACTATTCAGCTTTCATATGAACATGAGGAGAATGAAACTACCATGGCTTGGGTCAGGTGCACATTAGACTTCAAAATGACATCTTTTAAAGAGGTGTTTTGCAGCAGATTTTCCCAATACAGTATGTTGTTTTATTTCTTGACCACTGCTTCCATGGGTGTAGACTGTGGATACAAGTAAAATGAAATCCTTGACAACTTCAATCTTTACTGTTTATCATGGTGTTGCTTATTGGTCTAGTTTCAACAATTTCTGTTTTGTTTATATTGACATTATATAGATAGATAGATATAGAGAGACATTATATATAGACATATGTTGTTGTTGTTGTTGTTGTTATGTGTCGTCGAGTCGGCCCCAACTCATAGCGACCCCTCCTTGGGTTTCCAAGGCAGTATCACTACGGAAGTAGGATTGCCCAACCTTCCTTCCGAGGAGTGGCTGGTGGGTTTGAACCGCCAGCTTATAGACATATATATATCCACAGTGAAGGCTGCAGTCTTTGATCATCAGTAAATGCTTCAAATCCTCTTCACTTTCAGCAAGCAAGGTTGTATCATCTGCATGTTACAGGTTGTTAAATGAGTTTTCCTCCAATTCTGATGTCTTGTTCTTCATATAGTCCAGTTTCTTGTATTATTTGCTCAGCATACAAATTGAGTAAGTATGGTGAAAGAATACAACCTTAAAACACATTTCTCCTGATTTTACACTATGCAGTAGCTCCTTGTGGTGTTCTAATGACTGCTTCTTGGTCTACATACAGTTCCTCATGAGCACAATTAAGTGCTCAGGAATTTCCATCTTTCATAATGCTATCCATAATTTGTTATGATCCACAAAGCTGAATGCCTTTGCATAGCCAATAAAATACTGGGAAACATCTTTCTAGTATTCTCTGCTTTCAGCCAGGATTCATTTGACATCAGCAGTGATATCCCTTGTTCGATGTCCTCTTCTGAATTTGACTTGCATTTCTGGCATTTTTCTATTTTCAGCAAAATTTCACTTACATGTGATACTCATGATATTTTTCGATAATTTCCACATTCTCTTGGATCATCTTTCTTTGGAAAAGGCACAAATATGGATCTCTTCCAGTTGGTTGACCAAGTAGCTGTCTTCTAAATTTCTTGGTATTGCATCCATTTGTAAAAACATCTCAATTGGTATTCCATCAATTCCTGGAGACTAGTTTTTCATGATACCTTCAGTGCAATTTGACTTCTTCCTTCAGTACCATCAGCTATTGATCATATGCTACCCCCTGAAATGGTTGAATGTCAACCAATTCTTTTTGATATGGTGACTCTGTGTATTCCTTCCATGTTTTTCTGATGTTCCCTGTGTCACTCAATGTTTTGTCCATAGAATCTTTCAATATTTGCAACTCAAAGCTTGAATTTTTTCTTCAGTTCTTTCAGCTTGAGAAATGCCAAGCATGCTCTTCCCTTTTGGCTTTCTAACTATAGGTCCCTGCACACTTCATTATAATACCAATTTTGTCGTCTTCTGCTGCCATTTTAAATTTCCTGTTCACCTCTTTTACTTCATCATTTCTTCCATTTGCTTTAGCAACTCTACATTCAAGAATAAGTTTTAGAGTCTCTTCTTACATACATCTGTTCTTTCTTCCCTGTCTTTTTAATAACCTTCTGTTTTCTTCTTGTTAAGATGTGCTAGATGCTTTGGAACTAGACAGAGGTAATAGCTGTATACAATTGTGAATATACTCATGCCACTGAATTGTTCATATAAAAATTGTTATTTTTATGTTATGTGAATTCTACCTTTTTTGAAGATTGTGTTTCACTTCATTAGTTTTTATTACATTTAATAAAAGTATCAGTTTGTGATAAATTGAAGGCAAGGGGAGGAAAGCTGGTTCTTCACCGTAGATAGTTTGAGTAACTATAGTGAAATATTCTAGATACAAAAATTTGGGGGAAGGAAGGGAAAAGAGGTCAGAGTTTCAGTCAAAAATGAGAGTGCCAGTGGGGAGAGGGGCCTCTGAAAAGTGGGGAGTCTGAGCAGCAGAGCTAATGAGAGTGATGACAGCCAGCAGGCAAGAATTCCTCCCAGCAAAACACAGGTAGAGGGAGGGAAAGGTCAGTGTTGTCACTACACTCACAATTTGGTGGAGGAAACTGAGGCACAGAGTGGTTTGGCAAGCTGCCCAAGGCCACACAGCCAAAAAGAAAGTAAGCCAAGGCTGGACCTAGAGTCTGCACTGACCCTGTCATGGGGCTGTTCACCTCCGTGGCTGAGAAACCACAAACTCACTGCTGTCAAGTTGGATCCAACTCATAGCAAACCCTCCTTGGGTTTCCCAGGTGGTATCACTATGGAAATAGATTGCCCAATCTTCCTTCTGAGCATGTGGAGGTGGGTGTGGATAAAGCACATGTTTTTGCAAAGGTAGCACAAAAGGCACAAAGAAGCTGTAAGGAGGACCAGAACCAGAGCAGCTGCTCTCCTTTTGTGTCTCCTTTTTGTTCTACAGCCCCCACCCCAGCTTCTGTGCCTGGCTAGCCACAACACACCCCACTCTCTCTCAGTCTCTGGACCTTTGTATTTACAGGTCCTTCTTCTGTTCCTACACTTCTTTCAAGCCCTGCTCCTTTGATGCTCCTTTCCAGAAGCATCCAGAGCCTTCCCCTTTAGGCTGGGAAAGGGGTCGCCTAAAGGCTTTTGTAGCCCTATAGGGCTCCCTTGCACCCCAAAAGAGGTCACACTCTGTGGCAGGATCCCAAACTAAATGTCTATGGGGGAATAGTGCTGGGGGGTGGGGGGACAGTTTGTAGCCTTTGGTCTATGGCTACTATGCTTTTGTTCACTTCTCTACAACTAGTTCATATGCCCTAAGAGCAAGAGATAAGTAAGAGTCATCTTCACTTTCCTTGCCTTGTAGGACACCTTATATACAGCGGGTGTCTAATGTTTGCTGAAACACAGTGGAGGCAGCATGAGTGGGGTCAGCAAATGGCCTTCACTGAAGACGTACCAGTGCTGGTGTTGGCCCTGCTGCCCATCTCACCTCTTGGCTAGTATTTCCAGCCCTGCAGCCTCCAAGGCCAGGGTTTCTCCATGTCCTGGTCACAGGCTTTATCACCCAGACCATCACCCTATCTCACCATTTGCAAATAAGGAAACCAAAGCTCTGAAGGTATCTGCTGGAGGTCACAGGACTGGCAGTCTTGGGGTTCAAAGGAGCATGCCCTGACCCCCTCAGGGAGGCCAGTGGGCAGGAGGCTGAGCAGGTGCCCAGGGTGAGGGAGGCAGATGCTCACCTGAGTTCCCTTAACCTCCTCACATTGCCCAGGGCACAAATCCTCTGTAAGCCTCAGTTTCCAGATCTGTGACATGGGGTTATAGCTACAGACAGGGCTTACAGGATTATCAGGTACAAAGAGAGAGAGCTACCACTTGGAGACACAATACTTCTGTCCTAGAAAGGCAAAGTCTCTGTCAGCCCAGCCCTGCCCCAGGCAGCACCCAAATAAACAAGGGCAGGCAAGAAAGATTGGCATTTCTCTGGAAGTAAGGCTGGGGAAGGAGAGACCACATAGAGGAAAAAACCCTATTCAACAAACCCACTACCCACTGAAGCAGCCCCATCAGGGAAGTTAAAGCTACTCTTTGCTCAGCATTAGCCGCAAACTTGCTCCCTGGCAGCTCTGGTTGAGGTGCTCTGAGGGATGAGCTGCCCTGAGGGACTGGAAGAGGCATAAACTGGTATACTTGACCACTTTCCTTCACACAGCCACTTGGAAATTTACTGAATACCTACTAGAGAGGATGTCTGGCATCTGTGAAGCGCCTGACACAGAGGAGGTACGGTGGTACCCAGAGGTGTATCTATAGAAAATAGAGCCTATGGCAAGCACTCAAATTGTACCCCTGTAAATATATGACACCTATCTTTTAGATAACTTTACCATAATATCAGCTCAAAAATACAAGCCAAGCTCATTAATCTTTCACTTAATATATTATACCACTACATGAAAATTACACCTGTACTTTCCTTGCTTTCACTGATGAAAACTGTCATGCTCATTTTTTTCAGTTTCTTCTCTTTCTACACACAGTACAGCATGATCATTTAGTCTACCTTGACTCATAACCAAAACCAAACCCACTGCCATCAAGTCCATGCCAACTCATAGCAATCCTATAGAACACAGCAGTACTACCCAGAGGGTTTCCAAGGTTGTAAATCTTTACAGAAGCACATTGCCTCATCATTTTCCCCCTGGAGCTTCTGGCGGGTTCAAAGCAAGAACCTTTTAGTAAGCAGCCAAATGCTTTAACCACTATGCCACCAGAGCCTTCCTTGACCCATGAAGGCACCCAAATACAAAAAGTACTAGTTTTAACTTGCTGAATGATCTCTCACAGCTGGCAATAAAACCCGTGACGATTAATAAAAACTGCTCAGTTCCCCCCACCCTTCAAGTAATGTCCAGGACAAGGCAGAGCAGGAGGCTGAGGCTCCAGCTACAACAGATGAGTTGCAGCCCACTAGCCTCAGCCCTGTGCCTGGGGTGGGGGATTAGGTCCCTCCTGACTAGCAGAGTGTTCTCCCCATCCTGGAGAAGGTGAAAAGGTAACACTGACTGACAAATGTTCTCCCTAGCTCAAAAGTGGACACTTGAGTCTGGGCTGTGGCCAAGAACCAGGCTGGATCTGGGTGGTGCCCTTCCTCCATCCCCTCCCTCTGCCTCTGGCTCTGCCCCCTCCAATGCCCACCAAACACCCTCTCTTGCATCCTGCCCCCATGCTGACTCTTTCCCCACCCTTTCTGTACCTGGCCCTAGGCACCACCCCGACTCCCGCCCCCCCCTGCCCCCAGGGTGCCCTACCTTGGCAAGGTGCTTGGCGATGCCTCGCCCACGGTAAGCATCTGGGACCTCTGTATGCTGTAGGTCCACAGTCCGCTTGCCAACATACTCGTAGAGCAGGACCGCCCTGTCATGACATCCTGGGAGCAGAGATGGAAAAGACAGTGTGAGGCTGTGGAGAATTCAGGGGTGCAGGAACCCAGGGAGGCAGCCAGGGCCAGGCTCCGACCCTATAAGGACCCAAGGCAAACAAAACACAACCACTGTCATGGAGTCAGATCCGACTCATAGCGACCCCTTCTTGAGTTTTCAAGGCAGTATTGCTATGGAAGTAGACTGCCCAACCTTCCTTCTGTGGAGTGGCTGGTGGGTTTGAACTGTCAGCCTTCTGTAATGCCTTAGGCACTACACCACCAAAGCTCCTTACAAGGACCCAGATGACCCAATTCCTGGCCTCCATAGACTCAGGAGGGGAGGTCTGGTAAAGGGACTGGCATTTGGAGCCAGACTGCTGAAAATGAGTCCTCAATAACCTTGGAACATTCATGTAATCTTCTTGTGTCTCAACAGTGACGTAATTATAATATAGAGATATAATTTATAACATTCCTTATAGGGCTGTTGTTGCTGTTGTTGTTGTTATGCGCCATCGAGTTGGACCCAACTTATAGCGACCCCTCCTTGTGTTTCTGAGGCAGTATCACTACAGAAGTAGATTGCCCCATCTTCCTTCTGAGGAGTGGCTGGTGGGTTTGAACCGCCAGCCTTCTGGTTAGCATAGTGCCTTAGCCACTATGCTACCAGAACTCCCTTTATAGGGCTGTTAGGAGGATTAAATGAGTTCATCCCTGTAACATGCTTAAAATGGTGGCTGTTATTAATTAGCTGCTGTGAAGTTGACTTTGCACTCACAGCTACCACATATACAATGGAACAAAGTGCTCCCTAACTCTGCACCATCCCCATGACTGGGTGCAGATCAGATCACTGTGATCCATAGAGTGTTCTTGCTCATTTTCAGACGTAGATTGACAGACCTAGTCTGTCTTAGGCTGGAAGCTATGCTAAAACCTGTTCAACATCATAGCAACATACACACCTCCACTGACAGATGGGTAGTGGTTGTACATGAAGTGCATTGGTCAGGAATTGAACCTGAGTCTCCCACACAGAAGGCAAGAATTAATGTTGCCTAGAACTACCAATAGCATTGGGTTACAATGTACCAAAGGAGCCCTGCTGATGTAACGATGAAGCACTCTGTGGCTAACCAAAAGTTGGCAACAACCCACCTAGAGAGTCCATGGGAGACAAGACTGGAATCTGCTCCCATAAAGATTACAGCCTAGAAAACTCTATGGGGCAGCAAGATGGTGGAATAGGCTGACAAGCTACACAGACCCTCTGCAGCAAAGCAATAAGAAACCAATTGAAACGGAAACAGAAGACAATCCTGGAACCCTGAGCTTTGAAGGGAAGGATAAAGACATGGATTAAATATCAAATAGTAGAAGAACCAGCATGAAACAGTGAGCACATAGATAAATGGAGCTGTGGACTGCCAGCTGTCCTGAGGGCACAGCTACTTTGGATATTTCCAAGCAGCCGGTGCAGCCATTTTCAGTACATGTGGGTGGCATTCTTGCTTGAAATGTGACCTGGGAGTATGCTCCACCTGTCAAGGGTAGCACAGGCAACCACACTAGAAGCTGATGACTGGAGAGGTACAATATTTCCCTTGTTAGTCTTGTGTCCTGTGCCCTCTTGATAAACAAGGGTATAGCCACCTTCCCCCATCCCCAAACGCACCTTCTTGACCTGCGAGGGCTCCATCCCTGTCTGTGCCCTGGCCCAGCCTGGGTGCTGTGCCCTGACCCCACAGTTTTGTTTTTGTTTGTCTGTTTTTAAATTATCCTTTTTATCTTCCTCTCTTCTTCCTTTTTTTTTTTTTTTTTTCTGCCCTCTTTCTCATCCCTGGTTCTTAATTTTTTTTTTTTTAATCTTTTTTCTTCCCTTTTCCTGGTTCCCTTCCTTGTTCTTTCTTCTGGTTCTTCCCATCCCTTGTTTCTCCTTTCGCAGTTTTCCCTAATCTTTCATTCTTGCTCTTTTCTCTCATTCCTCCCTCCCCAGATACTGTGGGTTTTTTTTTTTTTTTTCCTTTTCTGATTCTCATTATCTTTCTTTTATCCTTTTCAAAGACATTTAAAATTTTTTTCTTCTTAGAAGGGCAATGTACCAAATGTGAGTGA